TCTTATCCTTACCACCTTAGGGTGATTTTGTTTTTTATTGTTATTTTGTTGTTGTTGTTGTTGTTGTGCTTCCCAGCTGTGAAGCACAGGAGAAGGGCTGCATAAGGATAATAATGGATACAAAAGGGTTATAGGGAATTCAAGGATGGAGAAGGGTGATAGGGAGGGATTGGGGATTTCAAGAGTAAATAATGAAAACGGGAGCATAAGAATTGATTGTGATTGCACAACTCATTTTAAAGGTGATGTAACCATGGGAGGTGCAGGTAGGGTGGGGATTGATGTGGTAATGATTGTATGATTCTCCTTGATATGATCGAACAATTGAACTATTGAAAAACAAAAGAATACTGAAGATTAATTAATGTATTTTAGTTAGTGTATTAGTGAAGGATATTGACTAATAAATACATTGGATTTTAAAAATGTATAGCCAGAATGCTCTTTGGAAGCAAAGATCTTGAAAATTTGTCTCATGTGCTTTGGACATGAGGTCAGGCCCAGTCTTTGTAGGCCTTCATATTTGATAACACAGAGAATCAGTGAAAAAGAGAATGACCCTAAGCCTGTTGATTACCACAGGCTGCAACAATGGTATTCAACATGGCAATGATTAGAGAATGGTGTATACTTAGGCAGCGCTTTGTTCTGATGTATCTAACATGAAAAATAGCAACATCAAACATAAAGGTGATAAAATGAAAAATTAGGTTTTCGATTTGAGAGTTTAGAAATATGAAAAGTATATAAAAGTTTATGAACATAGTGCCCCTTTGTAGGGTTTCTGATACTGTGAAGCATTATGGGAGCAGACAGCAGCGTTTTCCTTCAGTGGCATTTAATTGGTTTGAACCTGTGACTTTGCAGTTAGCTGCCAAATGTGTGTGCAAATAGTAATTTTCATACTAATAATTTGATACCAATGCTGTGTCTCTTTAACTGTGGAGGTAATTAATATAAGAATTCATGAGGAAATATGTTATTCTCAATATATATTCATAAAATGCCATGTTAATTGCAGATTAAGCCAACTTGAATGTAATTCTATTTTGAATAGAAAATCTAATAAATATAAATACTTTACTTCAGTAAATACCTTCTGTTAACATAGATAATTAAATTTCTATCAGCACAAAAGGAATTAGGTAATACAAATTGTTTTTAGTTTTTTGCTCTCTATTTATTTTGAATTTTGCATTCATTACCGTGGATCATTTAGAAAATATAAAAGTAAGATTCCAATGAAAACTGTTATTTAACATTTTGAAAACCTCATTCAATATCAATATCTAAAGTATCTATGTTTTAAAATAAAGTTGCAAGTCATAAAATTTTGCATAGGTCTTTTTTTTTTTTTGCATTGGCTTCTGAAACTTTTGTCTGTTTTGCATTTTATGGTTAAGTTCTAAGTTTTTCCATTTTTTTAAATGTAGCTGTAGTTAATTATTAGTATTTACTTGTCCCGTCTGTTTAATGGACACTTAATTGTTTCTAATTTTTAGTGTAATAAATAATACTGTCATGAATGCTCTTGTGCACATTTTTGGTTACCTATTTATGAGTTCCTGTAGTCCATTTAATGAATGTAGAAATAATGGTTTATTGGACATGAGTAATTTATTAGACATGAGGAATTTAACCAATTCCTTTTGAAATTGGTTAAACTTTTTTACCACAGAAGTCCTAAGACCCTGCTGCATTAGTAGGTTTCTTGACTCTTTGCCAATCTAATGGATAAAGTAATATTACCTTATTTATCTTAATTTATATGCTTCTGTTTCCTAACAAAATTGAATATCTTTTTAATAGACTATTAATATAACCACTTCTGAAAGATACCACTTTATATATTCTGCCTATTTAAACATTTTTTTATTGATGTTTGGAGATTATTTAAAATACATTTTGATACTGATCTTATCCTTTTTAGAAATGCAGATATATTCTCTCAAATACTGATTATATTTTTTAATGAAGAAAAGATATTAATTTTAATGCAGTGAAATTTTATTTCCTTTATGGTGACACTTTTATCCCTTCCTTAAGAGATCCTTTCCTCTAACTAGTTAAAAAATTAAAAATTGCTTGTGAATTTAAAAATATATAAATATATTTTTTGTTTTATTTCTTAACAAATATTTCCGTGTGTAATGTCTAAACATGTCTACTGTCTTAGGTAAACATAGTATAATCAAATGAATCATTTAGCATGCATATAGAAATATATTTAATTTACAAAAATTAATTTAACTTTGTATTCCATTAATATCATCAAAATATTTTAAAGCAAAACCTTTTATTTTGAGATGATTGTAGAGTGGTATCTGTAAGGAATAAGAGAGAGAAGTATATCGTGCCCTTTACCTAGTTTCCACCTAATGAAACAGCCTCCAAAACTAATGTGCTGTGAAAACCAGGATAGGCTCCATCACCATAGAGATCCCTGGCATTCCGCCCCACCCGGCTCTTTTTTGTTTTTAATATTCACCTGTCTTTTCACTAATAACACCATCACCCCCCCTCATGCCATTCCTAGCCTTAGGAAGCCAAAATATATTCTCCAATTCTCTAGTTTGTCTTTTCAAGATGGTTATATATTATTCAGTCAGATAATAAGTAACCATTTGGGAATGCCTTTCCATTAAATGTAATTCTAAGTGGCTGTGTGCTATCAATTTTAGGACCTTTTAAAAACAATTACACTGCTGAATTGTTGTGAGGTGTCTCAGCCACCTCAGCCACTCTCTGGGAACATCACAGAACCTGCCGGCTCCGCACTGTGCCCGCAGTCCTTGCTATGCTTGAGCCCACTGTTGCAACCAGTGTGTCCATCCATCCCACAGAAGGGCTGCTTTCCCACTGTCTCTTTCTTTTACCAAACATGATGTGCTTCTCAAAGGGTGGGTTCTTCTGAGAACACATCCAAAGTAAATGGGAGGAAGTTCTGCCATCTTTGCAACAAAGGGCCAAACCAATGCCTTCAGGGAAGTGTGGACTCTTCATTGAATACCACATTGGAACTCGAACTTTGAATGATACCTTAAGTTCTTTCAGCTTGAGAAATACCAAAGAACATTCTTCTCTTCTGGCTTTCTAAGTCCAAAAGTTTGTGTATTTCATTATAATATGAGGGACTTCAAAAAGTTCATGGTAAAATAGAATTAAACTGGAATGGAACTATTCCACAAATGTTTTTTTTTTCATTTCACGAATGTTTTAAAGTCTGATATTTCAATTTATCTTCTTGAGTCATACTTTTATATCTTCTATTTGATTCTTGTACGTACTGATTCCATCCATTTGGTTATCTAATCTACATTCATTCTTCTTTAAGTTTTTGGTAGAATTCTCAAATGTAGCAATATGGGTCTAGAATTTTCTCTTTTGAGGAACTATTTAGTTACAAATTAAGAATTTTAAATGGATATAGTACTATTTAGGCTGTTTAAAATCTTAATTCAGATTTGGTAGCTTGTCATTTTTGAGTCATTGGTTCATTTTTTATAATTTTAAAATTTATGAATATATTTATTACCCTCTTAATGATGGAAGGATATGTATTGACATCTGTTTTATTCTTGACATTTGTGATAACAGCTTCTCTCTTTTAAATTTTTGCTAGTCTTACTAGAAACTTATCTATTGTACTGATATTTTTCAAACAGCAAACATTTTGTTTCATTGATTTTCTCTTTTCCAATGCTCACTTCCATACATTTACTCTTTTCCATTTATTAGAATCATTCTTCTACTAATTTTGGAGTTGCTTTATTGTCCCTCTTCTTTCAAGAGATATGAACCTAGATTATTGACTCACATATTTTTCCTATTTTTTTAATTTAAGGAACTAAGTGCTATAAAATTTCTTTTCAGTTCTGCTTTAGTTATATCCTCCATATTGGGGTATTTTGCACTTTAGTCTCTAACCATTTATTTGTATTTATTTAAAATTATATTTTATATTATGTTAGCTTATAGATGATTTAGAAATGGACTGTTTAATTTCCAAATGTTTAGAGTTATCTTTTGCCATTCTGTTATTGGATTCTGGCTTGACTGCATCATTGTCCAAGCATATGCAATACTCTACCTTTCTTTCTAGAGTAGTAGAAAGAAAGGTCAGGTATGGATTCCTTTTCTTGGGGCAGAGGGATGTCAGAGAGTAAGCAGTCCTGCTGCTATGATGTGCTTCCTCTCTTGTACCGTTTGCCTTCCTGTTTCCATCTTCCAGAGTAGTTCTTTCACTGTTCCATGTGTGATTTCCAGGATTTATAGTTGTGCTGAGCAGGAAAGAACAGGGTGAAACACATGCATAAGACATTGTTTGACCAAAACCCTCTGAATAATATAATACTTTCACATTTTAAATCTTTAATATTACCACTGAACTTTTAAAAAACACGTGGCCTATGATTGGAATCCAAGTTTGCTGTATTTCATATAGGTATCTACTTTTCTCAGGAGAGTTTATTATATGTATTTTTCTCCATTGATCTGTAGTACCATACCTGTAATTTATCTTGTTTCATGTATATATGAATTTATTTCTGAACTCTCTTTAATACTCTCTTGGTCAGTTTGTTTACTCTTGTGACAAAATCACACTTTAAATTATAACTTTTATTAAGTTTTCATATATTTTGTAACAATTTCTTCAAACTTGTTTTTCAGAACTGCAATAACTATTCTTAGACTTTTCCTTTTATGCATAAATGTTAAACAAACATGCCAAAATCCTTTAAAAACGTTCTTAGAATTTTAACTGAAAAAAACTAAGTTTATATACCAAGATGGAGAGGACTGGCATCTTAAGATATTGGACCTTTTATACAATAATTATTTAAAAAAATATTAGGGTTTTCTTTTATTTATTTCAATAACATATTTCTTCATATAGGCCTTGCAAATGTTTTTGTTGAATATATTAAAGTACTTATTTTTTCTGTTATTACAAGTGATAACTTTTAAGATAAATAACTTATTCCTTTGTCAACTTTGAGGCCTTTTTCAACAGAAATCAAGAGGGAGCCTGTGATCTCAGAGCAAGATCAGCTCCCTGCCCAGTATCACAAGTCCGTGACACAAGAGAGAACTCTCACACTTGGAACCAGCCCAGACTTCGGAAGCACATCACTGACAAGAGGCAACAGAGCCCGCAGGCATTCATAATAAAAGCACCAATCTGCAGGACACCACACCTTTTGGCTCATCAGAAACCAAATTGGAAACCTTGAGCGGCATACATACCTGGGCCATTTCCACTTTTTCTTTCCTCAGTAGCTGGACTCTTTCCTTATTGTCAGTCTTCGAAAGGAACTCAAGGCTCCCAGCTCATCTGTCTAGGACCCTAATCATCCCTCAGACTCCTCCATCACATTCTGACCCTATTGCTCCCGCCCCTTTCTTAATGCTTGAAACCCTTTCTCAGTACATCCAGGAACTCAAAATTAGTCATCAGAAAAATACTCTATATTCTCACCTTTTTTTCATAATACCTATACCCTTTGTATAATGGAAATCTAGCTTCTCTTTGACGACAATTTCGTTTTCAGAAAGTACTGTTCTGATAAATGATTAAGCCTTTTTAAGCGTGGAGGGCGGAGTCTTGAATTGTGTTTTTCAGTTCCTGTGCTATAAATAGCCCCACCATTGATATATTCTAGCTACTTCATTGAACATGAAGTTGAAAATTGATTCAGGGAGTTAGTTCTCTGAACCAGTTTTAACCAGTGTCCTCCAGCACACCACTGTCTGCAGTATTTCAAAATGGTAAGCCATATTCGGTACTCGCTAGTTAACCCTAACACTGAAACGAGGTAGGATAAGCGTCCTCTCTGCTCCTCATTGTTATTTTCTGTCGATTTATCATCTTTCTTCATGGATCTGCCTTGTCTTCAATCTTACGTCACCCGATTATACTATTCACCGTATCTTCTGATTGTGGGCATTTTTTCCCAATTCGTTTTTTTTTTTGTCATAAAAATTAATAATCCCTATGGCATTGTCACTTAATTAAAAAAGACCTCTGTGATATTTCTAGTGATTGAAATATTCATGTTATAATCCTTGTAACATTATATATTCTTTTTTATTTTATTTTTATATTATATATTATTGACAGCTGTCTTCAATGTCCTGTCCATTCTCAGCCACTCACTTTTCTGGTTGTTCCTAGGCCATGTTACTGCATAACTGACATGATGTTTTAAAAGCGTTTCACCTCCCTCAGATCTCCCATACACTGAAATGTTCCGGGGCTCAGTTCATGGACCTCCAGTCTATGCCGTTGTAATGCCGTAGGTGATCCCATCAAGTCTCACGGCTTTAATTCCTATCTATATGTCAATGACTTTCTGTATTTTAAACTGGGATCTCTTATCTGAATTCTAGTTTTAGGTGAGGGTAAGTGAAAAAGTATTTCTACCGCTGTTTTAGTTCATATCTGTACAAGATTATCCCAAACAAAACATTTATAAACATGTCTCTGCAATTAGTAGGCAAGTTCTATCAGAAATACAGTTGTCTTACTTTCATTAAGCTGATTGTAAGAGTATATTTTTGTGCCACATGGAGAAAACAATTTTAAGGTCAGGCCTAATATCAAGCTTTGAATAGAAATCAAGCCAAATAATTAAAGCTTTGCAAGAAGCTTAGAGGAAATACTACCTCTTATAATATGCTTTTAAAAATTGGTTTATTTTTAACCATTTTACAGACATACAAATCATATACATTTCAGTATTCCAGTCACATTTACAAGAGTTGTGCAACTATCATCACAAACAATGCAGGGCATTTTTGCTTGGTTTGTGATAATGCATCAAACATTTTAAGGAAAGTCTGGTAGACCACAAAGATCAAGTGAAGGGAGGAAAGATAATCAACCTCAACAAATGAAGACATTGTGGTGAAAGTCCAGAACCAGTGAAATAAAGCTGTGGGATTGCCATTGACGTGATATCTGTGGAAGTTGCCTTTCAAATAGTTCAGCGTTTGCTACCTCTACGCGAGCTCCCAGCTTGATGGGTGCCGAAGGTGTTGGCCCAAGCTTTCCAGCAGTCTCCGAGGAAAGATGAAAGCGAACGAAGATGATTTTATGGAACAAATTGTAAAGAGGGAAAAATTTTGGATTTCCCAATACAGGCCTGAGAGGAAAGTCTAACCCACACAGTAGTTTTTGAAGGGATCTGGTAGGCCAATTCAAGTCACTGCAGAAAGATTAGCTCCTAAAGTTATGGTGATAGTTTGAGGGGCTTTCCTGAGGGTGACCTTGATAAATTTTCTTGAAGGACATAGGATGGTCATGAGGGTTTACTATGAAGAAGTTTTAAAAAAATTGAAAACTGCATTGGTGGCAAAATGGCCAGGGAGTGTTGAGCTTAAGAATGTTTCCTTTAGGATGATTAACATGTTTATTCTTTGAGGGTAGAAAGGGTTGTTCTATGACATTTTCATTGGGGAACCTTACCCTGTTCACCCTACAACTCTGGTCTTGTCCCTTTGGCCATCTGTTTGTTTCCCTAACACAAAGGGCACAGTATGAGTCTTTTGAGGATGCCCAAACTGCCATTTGGGATGTTGTAAATCAGAGAGCTCAGAAGTCTTTGGAGAAAGGCTAGAGAGATGGCATATACCTTGAGAAAGTGTATAGTCCTGGATGAAGGATATGTCAGCAAACAATAGCTTCACATTTTTGAAAATTTTGTTTAATAAAGATTTTTATGACGTTGTAGCAATATAATTTGATTACTGCAGTTAGATAACTATTCTATAGGAAAGTGATGCTTTCTGAAGTTTACTCAGGTTAATTAATGGAAACACCCTTCCCACCTTTATTTTAAAAATCGTGGAAGTCAACCTGTGTCATTTCTCTTACACCTCACTATTGATATAAATTAATTTTGGTTCTATGTTTGCAAAGTGTCCAGATTTCCAATTTTCATTTCTGTCTACAATATTATTCTCTGGTTCAAGCTGCCATCATCTCGAACTGATCTGCCATCTTCTGTCCTTGTGTCTTTCAGTCTCTTTTGAACTTACCAATCATGCTCACTCTCTTAATCACTTACTCGTCAATTTCATATCTCTGCTCAAAACTTTCTGTTAGTGCTGGTTACAAATAAAGTCACTCTAATCTTTGAAGCCCTGATTGAGCTTATTTCTTTTCCTGACAGCTCTGGCCACACTATAAATCCTTTGCTCAAGTTCAGGCACACTGATCGTGCCCTGTTTGGAGAGCATTAAAAAATGCCCTGACTTGGAGCTTTTGCACTTGATGTTTTCTGCCTGCATTGCCTCCCCCCCCCCACCCGCCCCCGCCCCCACTCCAGTGAATAGCGTATTCCTTACTTCCTTTAAAGATTTACTTAAGTATCTTCTTTTCAGAGAACGCCCATTACCAACACTGTCTACAATTTAATGTTGCCCCATACTCCTTGAGACTTTTGGAACTATTTTCTCCTTTGTTATTATTTTTCTCCTGATCTGTATAACAATCTAAGATGTCTATGTGGCACTTAGTAATTTGTTTATTATGTGTCTTTTTAACTAGAATGTAAGCTCTACGAGAGTAGCATATTTGTTAAGTGCATTGCTGTAGCCCCAGTGCAAAAAATCCCTGGCAAAAACTAGATATTCCATAAATATTTGTATTTGAATGAATGCATTAATGAAAAAAATTCTGTTCATTCTCATGATTAATGCAAGTTAATTTTAAATACAGCTATCTTTCTATGCTGTATATTTCTATAAGTTGTAGATTCTTTTATATTTTTTTATAGATGATGATCTATGAGCAATAATTGAGCATTTCTCACAATAAGTGAGCAATGATGGCTGTGATTTCCTCTTTCTAATCTGGAGATTTTAAAGGAATACTTTAAAATGTCACTCTAAAGAATAATATTTGTTGTAAATCTTAGGCAGATGTCTCTTATCAAGTTCAATACATTCCTTTTTTTTCATGCTTGCAATTTTGTGTGTGTTTTACCATGAACGAGAGTAAAGATTTTATTTGATCATGAATGAAGATTGGATATTTATTCTATTTCTGAGATTTTTCATGATTTTCTTTTCTAGTATTTTAATGCAATAATGACATTTATGGACTTTATATGGCAAACACCCTTTCATACCATGGATAAAATGAACACATTCATTATGTCTTATCTAATGTTCACTTAACTGGATACAGTTTATTTACCTTTTCTAGAGTTATATATTTTATGAATAAAATTAGCCTACAATTTTCCCTTTTATGTGCTCTCTTTTTATAATTTTGGTCTCAGTATGATAATTAATTGCTTAAACGAGTTAGATGATATTCTTTTTGCATTCTTTAGAAGAGATTTTATACTATATAACACCTTTTCCTTGAATGTTTTATATAAATTTATCTAGAGCTGGTTTGTATTATTAGAGTCTTTTATATTATAGACTCATGTTTTTAAAATATAATATATTAATACATTTATTACAGAATCAATATTTGTAAATATTAAAGTTTATCTGAGTTTGAATTATTGTCTTAATTTCAAATTTATTGGCATGCATATTTTCTTCATATTTCTTTATAATCTCCATGGAATCTATAAATCTTTTTGAATTTTCACTCTGTGATTGATATCTTTCTTATTTCTACTTCTCAGGTTTCCTCAAGCCTCATTTTATCAGTCTTTTTGGACACATATGAAATTGTTATTCTTTAGTATCCAAACTTTAAATTTTATTATTTTCGATTTCCTCTGAAGGAGCCCTGTTGGCATCGTGATTTTGCAGTTGGCTGCCAACCACAATGTCAGCAGTTTGAAACAAACAGCCACCCTGTCGAAAAGAGGACACATTTTATTGCCATAAGGAAATTTCAGTCTTGGAAACCGCATCACTCACATTACTTCTAAGGAAGCCTAGTGTACTGTTAGATATTGGTTGGACTGCTAACTGTAAGGCTGGAAGTTCAAACCCACCAGCTGCTTCTTGGTAGAAAGAGGAGGCTTTCTGCTCTCATAAGATTTACAGATTTTGAACTGGAATAGACTCAATGGTAGTGGGTTTTGGGTATTACATCTCTATTTTCTATTTCATTATTCTGTGTTTTCATTGTTATACTCTCCTGCCTATAATCTTTGGGTTTATACTCTTTTTCTTTTCAACTTATTAAATTGGATGCTTAATTGATTAATAATGTTCAGCCAGATTGTTCTGCTATGTAAGCAACTAATAAAACTTTCCTCAAAGATACAGTTTTATTGTATCCCATTGGTGGCTATATATGGAATAATTATTGTGCAGTTTTAAATATTTAAAGATGTCTTTAAAAGAAAAGCAAGCTATGGCTAAAGAACATGATTTATATAAAACCAACCCTTGAAGTTTTTGGAGGCTTGCTATGGTAGAAAATGACAGTTTTCTACCCAAATGTGCTTCTCTTTATCCCCATAGTTTTCACGAGTTATCTGAGTACCTTGTTAAGCACTCTGGGATCATTAGTTACAAAGGCTGCCCTTGTTTATAGAAACGGCACCACAGAGCTCAGTTGGTCAGGTAGCTTTCTTCCAAATCTTTTGTCAGAGTGAATGCGCTCAGTGCTGCATTTGTCTGTTGAAATATTCCAATCTATATTCAGTTAATTTTTGGAGCCTTGTTTTTAACCACTGCCTACAGTTCAGATGAGACATCTTTCTTCAATATCAATGGGTTTGATCATGTGCTGTCTCTGGAAATGGTGCCGTTATTCCTTCTACCTTCCTTTGATATTTCCTGTATCATAGAAGAGTTTGCCCCTAGAATCTGTGATAGCTAAGCTGTGTGTCAACTTAGCTGTCTGATCGTTGTAATCATCCCTATAAGGAAACCCAGTGTAATAGAATCACTTCCATGAAAAGCACTAATACGAGTAGCCAATCAATTGAAATATTTTCTTGGAGATATTACTTCCTTGCAATATATGTCAATACTTGGACAGATCTTGCTTGTTTTTTGCTGGGTGTGGATCCTTGTCATCTGGCCCGTGGTTCTTAG